TGCTTTATCAAACAAGACCAGGTTATTGAGCTTGTCCCGAACTTTGCCTTTGGACCACTTCTGCTCCCAAAAGAAAAAGGACAGTCAGCGTTCCCTGGAAGAAATTACTCTTTCCCTCACCAAACCATCTGTGTCACCGCAACTTTTTTTCCATGGCCATAGGAATATACTGCAAAGTTGTCTGTTCTTGCCCTGCAGAAATCTACGAAATTTACAATTTACAGCAACTCTGCAAACGAAGATTCAAGTAATCTGAAACCAAGATACCAAAAAAAAGACCCCATTGCCATTTACGTTATCCAAGATAAGTTAGATTAAAAAGAAAAAAAACAACCACCCCCGAACACATCTGCAAGAGTTTCGGGTATAGGTTAAGCCCCACTAAACCAATTAAAAGAACACCACGTGACCATCAGACTACATTCACACTTAGCGTGTACCACCCCATTCTTCCAAACACAAAACGGTTTGAGAGCGCAATTCTAGTCCTCGGACTCTAGACGCCACAACCGTAAAAGCCATTTGCTATACACGTCATTTATTACTACAGCTACACGGGCCCGGCGTCCCCAGTGTCTCCCACTCTTGGAGGACTCCACGCCTACCTTCTTTTTGGCCTTGCCCCCAGATTTGTTCACTGGGTCTTTGTCTTTTTTGGCCGATTTCCCGGCATCTTTCTTCTTCTTGTCGTCCTTGGGCGGCTGTGCGGAAAAGGGAGAACGCAGCCAGATCACACGGCAGCCCCACGCTCCCTCTGCAACGGCGCCCCCACCCCGCCCAAACCTCACTACCTGAGCACATGGGTGAAGCAATCCCCCCGCCCGCCCGAAGCAGCCCGGCAAGTCTGGGGCCCTGCGTCTGGTGCCGCCTCCACCCCGTCCCGGCGCTTCCCGGCTCTCACAGCCGCACCAGTTTCCCACTCGGAAGAGCTCACCATAGCGAAGCTCAGAGAGCAACAGCCAACACCGCAGCCTCGCTAAGATGTCGGACAAAAAAAGGAAGCGGCGCTCACGCACGGGCCCAGAAACCTCCACCCTCAGCAAACGTTTCCGGGCCAAGGGGCGGAGCCAGCAGCGGAAGGTCGTAGGTCCAGCCCCCTCGTCCAGCGGGCAGTAGGGAAGTTGGTTGTTCCCCAGCCGCGCACCCCGAACAGTGTCCGCGGCCTTTTGGACTTTGCCGCTAGTTGTGAGGTAGTCACACGTCGCTATCCCCTGGTCCTGGAAACTAATAAAGAGAGAAAACAATCTGCCAGCTTCCGTAACTACCCCCACGATCCCGCTAAGCGTGGTGCTACAAGTGCGCAGGCGCCGGCTTTGCGAGGATGGGAGGAGGGGGCAAGGGGCGGGTCCCGCGACTGCGGTTCCGGGGCGGGGCCGTCTGGAAGAAGCCGAATCCCCGCCTCTGAGGGGCAGCGGCCGCAATGGCGATTTTTAGCGTCTACGTGGTGAACAAAGCTGGCGGCCTCATCTACCAGTTGGACAGCTACGCGCCACGGGCCGAGGCTGAGAAAACTTTCAGTTACCCTCTTGATCTGCTGCTCAAGCTGCACGACGAGCGTGTGCTGGTTGCCTTCGGCCAGCGCGACGGCATCCGGGGTGGGCTAGGATTGCGTCCGATGGGCGGGCCCGGTGCTGCGGAGTGGGCTGGTGTCTCTGCTGGGCAGTAGGGTGGGGGGAGAGGGGGTGAGGCCGGGTCGCTGGTCCCATCAGCGGAGTCCCCACGCTGGGGCTTCGTTGACCCTTAGCTTCACCTCTACAGTGGGCCACGCAGTGCTGGCCATCAATGGCGTGGACGTGAACGGCAAGTACACGGCCGATGGGAAAGAGGTGCTGGAGTACCTGGGCAACCCTGCTAATTACCCGGTGTCCATTCGGTTCGGCCGACCCCGCCTCACCTCCAATGAGAAGCTCATGCTGGCCTCCATGTTTCACTCGTAAGTCCCCCAACCCTGTCTAGTGCCTTTTGGCCTTCACTTGGCCCTTAGGCTAGCTGGATTAGTGTGGTTCTACGGGAAGTCTCCTGAGCAGCAGTGCTTACCTTTCTTTGCCTTTTCTTTTTTTTAAGCTTATTTATTTTGAGAGAGCACGCGCAAGCAAGGGAGGGGCAGAAAGAGAGGGAAAGGGTGAATTCCAGGCAGGCTCTGCAGTGTCAGCAGGGAGCCGATGCAGAGCTCGAACCCAGGAGCCAGGAAATTGTGACCTGAGCGGAAACCAAGAGCCGGACGCTCAACCAGCTGAGCCACCCAGGCGCCCCTCTTTGCCTCCTTTTAGGTCATCAGTTCTTGTGTTATGAAAAGAAAAAGAACGAGTCCAGTATAACTAGGCTTTAGATAATACTGGCAATGGTGTGATCTTGTGTAAGTCAACTTCCCTCAGCTTTAGTTTCTAAGTCTTTAAGGTAACTGAGCTAAATGATCTTTAAGACCTTTTCCTGCTCTCAACTATAGTATGACATATGCTGGATAATTATAGTCATGGGGTGAGTAACCCTGGCACATATTCCCAGTGTTAATTTCACCCAAAGCTTTCAAGGTAAAATGCTTTACAGCAGAGTAGGAGTGTAAACTACATGCAAAGTTCATATGAATTTTAAAGAAATTTTGGTGCTTCTGCTAGGCAATTGAGGAAGCTGCCTCTTCCTTTTTTTTTTTTTTTTAATGTTTGTTTATTTTTGAGAGAGAGCTCCCAAGCAAGAGAGGGAGGGCAGAGAGAGGGGAGACACAATCTGAAGCAGGCTCCAGGCTGAGCTGTCAGCACAGAACCTGACCCGGGGCTCAAACTCACAAACCATCACACTGCCTCTTCTGACCTCTCAGAGTGTAATGTAAACTCCTCAGCAGCTAGGGTTACTTCAGTGGAAAAGTTTGAGCAGCACCCCTCCCTTAAAACAGTGGGGTGCATTCCCAACCTTACCTCCTTTGCAAATAGGCTGTTCGCAATCGGTTCCCAGCTGTCTCCAGAACAGGGCAGCTCAGGCATTGAGATGCTGGAGACCGACACGTTCAAACTGCACTGTTTCCAGACACTGACAGGTATGCGTCTTCAGATAGGCCAAAGGGATGCACTGGGGGCTGGTTGGGGGAAGGGACTGACCAGAGACAACTTTGGTAAGCAAGGGGGTGGTGGTTAGCTTTTCCTGGGACAATTGCACGGACACGTCTGTTTTGCAACTCCAAAACCAATATTTAATCTGATGCCAGTTTTGCCCACACCACCCAGCACGCTCGGCCATGGTTATCTTGTGTGCAGATAAAACCTTAATGTTGCACATGTTTTGGTAAGTGTTTCCAAATGAAACTTGAATGCCAAATGGAAATGACCTTTGGATCATGTCATTGCCTCACTCCCTTAATGGGGATAATTGAAAACCTCCTGAATTTGTTTCCTGCCTGGCACTTGCTGCCGAGGGACCACATGACTAGGAATTAAGTGACAGAGCTAGAAATCAAAGCTTGGTCTCAATCAGTTGGGTGATGTGATAAAGTCATGTTACTGTTCTGGTCTTACAGATCCACAGTCTTGGTTTTCCTGCTTTACGGAGCAATAGGATAAAAGTAAAAATGGGCTTATGAAAATGCTACACACACACAGGATGATGTTATTTGCTTTTCTCCACTCTTTGGTAACCATTCCTGGCCCTTCTCCAGGGATCAAGTTTGTGGTACTGGCAGATCCCAGGCAAGCTGGAATAGATTCTCTTCTCCGAAAGATTTATGAGATTTACTCAGACTTTGCCCTCAAGAATCCATTCTACTCCCTGGAAATGCCTATCAGGTAGGTAGTCGCCCTCCCCAGATATTGGTCAAAGCGTCCTTGCCCTTCTCTCTGTGCTCTTCCCCAAAGATGTTTTTCAAAAGTGTAAGAAGAGTTACTTTTCAAATAAAACAAAAGTGACTAGCCTTTTCTTGCTATTTTGAGAGACTAAAGACTTTCCTGTGGGGTTCATATCCTCCTTCATGGAAGAGTTTCCACTGGCTCTACCTCGGCACCCAAAGTGGGGAAGAGTCTGAGACTTTACACTTTGTCCTCATCTGTGCCACTTGGGTCTGGCCTAGGTGTGAGCTGTTTGACCAGAACCTGAAGTTAGCCCTGGAGGTGGCAGAGAAGGCTGGAACTTTTGGACCTGGGTCATAGGCTGAGCCTGCAATGGATCTCCCAAATTTTGAGAGATCCTGCAGCAGGAAGTCTGCTGTATCCACTCCGATGGAGATCCTCACAGCTTCCTTAGTGCACTTGACAATGGGAGGGTGCAGAGCCTGATGACACATACTGATCCCTGAGCCTTAATACTGCTCTCTGCCCTCCCGTGTCTATCGTGGGCCTATTTCCCAACTCTGTACAGACTTATTTATGGAGGGAGTAGGTCCATAAATGCTAAATAAACATTCCTTTGATCTGTGTTTGCTATCCTAATTGATGGTTTGGGGGGAAAGGATCTGGTGGGTAGACAGGAATGAGAAAAGAATTCTGAGATGAGATATGTTCCAATAGAAAAAAATAAGTATTCATTAAATGAATGAACTTGGGGCTTTAAGTCAGGACCTTGGTCTAGTTCCAGAATTGCTGATTTCTAGGGTGATGGTGGAATATTTATCAAATGTTTATAGCCAGCCTTTACTGCTTTATCAAACTTAAACCTCGCCGTAATCTCAGGGGGTACATTCTCCTATGGACAAGAGATTTAGCAAGGTACAGACACTCTATGCCTCAGAGTCTCAAAGCTGATTACTAACTGCATGAGTTTGAACCCAGGCTTTCTGACTATGCTATCATAAGCCACTATTCAGAGCACCTAGGTGGCTCAGTCAGTTGAGTGGCCGACTTCAATTCAGGTCATGATCTCACAGTTTGTGAGTTCGAGCCCCGTGTCGGGCTCTGTGCTGACAGCCTGGAGCCTGCTTCCGATTCTTGTTTCCCCCTCTTTCTGGCCCTCTCCTACTCACCCTCTATCTCCTTCTCTCAAAAATAAATAAACATTAAAAAAAAAATTATAAGCCACTGTTTACTGATTCCCTCCATCAAAGTATTTAATTTGTCTGAAACCCAGTAGCTTCATCTCTAAAACGATCATTGAATTATACAGTGTAAAGTTGAAGGCAAAGGAGACATAAGCTAAAAGGAGTATACGTCAGATCTCCCATTCCAAGGAAATGAAGTCTGTCCTGTTTGGGGTGGAAAGAGCAGGTAGCAAGAGAATATTTTCCAAGGAAAACTGTCTCTGGTCTGTAATACCCCTATTGAAAGAATGGCTCACTGTGTTTAGTATCAAATCTAGTTTTAATCTCTTTATCAAGTCTTCCTCCCTCCCACCCAGGCCCTGGTGTTCCCAGGGTATTGGTGAGAGTGATGGCCTCCTCTCTGCCTGGAATCTTGAGGTATTGGCAAGAACACTCACCGGGTGCTAAGAGGCCTTAGGGCAGAAATCATGGCCCATTGGTGCCCTGCAGCTACAGGAGGAGCCTCACCTCTTGTGGGGATGGGGTGGGGTGGGGTGGGGTGGGGGTGGGGCAGGGTCCAGGAGAGGAAGAGGGTATTGGAGACTCCCTCACTGTAGGGGTTTCCTGTTTGAAGGCAGGAAATTGGAGCTAATGAAGTCCAAGAACAAAAGTTGTCTTTTTAAATAGAGCACAGGATGGGGAGCTGGGACCTCATTAGCCACTGATAACTTCCAGCGCCACCTGGGCGAGGGAAAAGGAGCAAAAAAGGCGATCCAAGGTTCATCGGTAGCCGGAGCAGCCCCACTTTCTTTCTCCCCGCCCCCGCACCTCCCCAGCCCTGTGCAGGGGAAGGTCCACAGGTGGGAGAGGATGCACAGGTGCCTGTACTGTCTTCACTCAGCCTTCTTGGGCACTGGGCCCATCTTGGTGCGGATGTTTCGTAGCAGAAAGAAGGCGACTGTGCTGACTGCACAGATCACTTCGGCCACCCAGAAGGCTGTGCTCCAGCTATAGTGCTTGGCAATGGTGCTGAAGGGCAGCCCAGCCAGAAAGCCGCCCACTGCCAAGGAGGAGGGGAAGAGTCTGGGTCATTTGTGAGGCTAGGGCCGGCGGGGCCTGCCCTAGACTATAGCTGGCTTAAGTGCGAGGCACAAGTAGGGGTGAGGTGGAGACTCCGCTTACCGTTGGCCATGAGTCCCACAATGGCATGGGAGGTGCCGCACAAGTTGGGAGGAGCACTCTCATTGGCTATAACTCCGAACAAGGCAATGGGACCGTAGGAGGAGAAACCGAACAGGGCTCCCAACACCAGGATCCAGAGCTGCAAGGGCAGCACAGAGTGGCATTCAGAGTTTGAGAGAGCCTACCTACCTGTCTACCTCTGCCAGAGGACACAACAAATAACTGTAGTAAGGACACAGGAAATGACCTCCCTCACCCCACTTTCTGATATAATGGACAGGGCAGAGCTAGAGGAGTGAGCGCCACACCGAGCCAACCCGAGGGCTTGTGTGGGTAGGTAAAGGAGGTACAGAAGCCATCCCTCCAAGTTAGATGCTATCTCTTCTCAGAACTCATGCTAGCTGGATTGGCTAGGGGCAAGGAAGACAGTAGGACAAGGGTAAGACAAACCAGGAAGAAAACCAGAGATAAGGCACCTCGTGCTCCGTAAAGCCTGTGAGCTCAGCGAGAGGGTGAAGAGCTGGAGTCCAGAAAGCAACATCCTAGAGGAGCACAGGAAAGAAAAGGAAACCAAGTCCCGAGTCCAGGAGGGGCACCAAAGTACAAAGAGGACACGAGGTAAGACAGACCTGGAAAGGGAGATCTGAGAGGCAAAGAAAGGCCTGGGCCAGGGTGGAGCCAGGGAGAGGAAGCCTGAGAGTCGGCAGCCCTTGCTTTCTCATCCTTGTGCCTGCTGTGGGCCAGGCCCTCCTTATTTACCTTGGAGGAGTCACTGGTCACAGTGACCCGGAAGAGGTACATGGACACGGTCATGCCAGCCATCATGAGCAGCAACAGGCCATGGCGAGGGTTCCCGTAGATGGATAGGCCTGCCTGTGGATACAGTCCCAGCAATGTCAGGGCCTAAAAGCAGCAGAGAACCTCCACCCCTGGACTCTGATACAGCAGGGCCTCTGCTGACAGGTCTTTGGCAGTCCCACCACAGCTCTTGGCCCCGGGCAGCTCTGGGAGGCCCCGGGACCTGCTCGTTGTGTTCAGAGGCCAAACTCCACAACATCCCTTCCTCCCCCACGGGGCAGGGTCGGGACATGTGCTGGCAAGCTGCACCTGCTTCCTCCTCAACCCCAGTTTTCCTGGGGCTGTGGAGAAGCCCACTGCCAGGCTGAGAGACATTCCAGCTCTCCTTGACATCATTTAAAGCCTTTTCCCCAAGAGTCTTAACCCTCACACCCCCAGCGAATAGCGGCAGCCTGGAATCATTCCAACCTCCCCCAACCTAAACTGGCTTATGCCAGCCTGCCCGTGCCCCAGGGCTCCCGCCTCTCTGGTGCCTGTCCCAGTCACGCTGGGAAGATTTAAAGGGACCCTCCTCCTTCCTGTCCTGTCTGCCCACTCACCTTTGCCATGGCCCGGTCTGACAGGTAGCCAGCTGCGATGCTGCCTACAAGGCCCCCAACCTCCAGGGCACTCATGTAGGAGCTACCTGGAGTAGGGAGTTGTGGTGGGAAGAGGGAAAGGAAGGGTGGGTGTTACACACTGGGGTTGTCCCAGACTGGCTTAAACCCAGAGAGGTACAGGGTCCCCAAGGGTGACCGACCACAGCTGTCTGAGTAGTGCCTGGCCTCAGGGAAAGAAGGAAGGGATAAAGAGAAGCTGGGCCTGAACTTCCCATCCCCTTCATTGACTCCTGCTTCCTAGGCCCACCCCCGTTCCAAACTCATCTTACCCACGAGGACGGATTGTCCTTTCTCCTGGATGAGGAAGAACTGGCCCCAGTCAGTACAGCAGGTCTTTACTCCAAATACCACGAGGTAGCCCGTGGACAGTACCCACAGGTAGGGGGACAGCAGCAGCTCCTGTAAAGTACTCTCCTCCTTCGAGGAGCCTGGGGGCAGGAGGAGGCCAGGCCTGAGGCTCCACTCTTGCTGCTCTGCCCCGACTGAGCCCCCACCACTCATTAACCAGCCACAGGGCCAGAGTCCATCCACACAGCCAGGGACCAGCAGGAAGGCACCCCTTTACCCACTGTTCTACCCTGTCCCCTCCTCTATAGGCCTCAGCAAATGAAACAGGGACCAGGGCACATGGAGGAAGGCACCCAAGCCACTTAAGCTTAGGATGCTGTCCAGGACAGGACAGGGAAGTCTGGCTCTGCTGTGAGGAAGGACCGGGATATAACATGAGTCGCACAGCATTTGTTGGCTCTGCCGCTTGTCTGGTACTTAAGTGTCTCTTGGAACGGAGTTTTATTTACTCCCCACCAACTTGCCACCACCATCCCTCCCCCTGCCTCCGTCGGCTAGCACAGGGCCAGGCATACAGCCAGACCTCAGTGAAAGTCTGCCAAATGAATGGTGGATGAAGGTGCCCCAGTGATTCGGCTTGGGTGCGTGCTCACCCTTCTTGTCCTTGGAGGGGGCGGGGTCCAGGTTCCGGAGCCCAACGTCAGCGGGTTCATTGTGGATGAGCAGGAGACAGAGGAAGGAGACAACTACACAGAGCGCCCCAGACAGGGCCAGCGTGCTGCGCCAGCTATAGCTCTGGGCGAGGATGGTTGCCAGGATAGGGCCCAGCCCTCCAGCCAGGTTCATGCTGGTTGACAGAATGGCCCACCAGGTGCCAAACTGAGATGGCTCAAACCACTGCGGGGCAGAGGGTTCAGAGTAGGTGCCCACGTTAAACACGTTGAAGGTGAGGGTCAGGTGGGGCAGGGGCAGACCTAGAAGCTCACATTACAGGGACGAGGAAGAGGGCGCCTCTACTTGGCAGGGCCAATTCCCTCATCTGCCACCTGATCCCACCATGTTTAGCTCCTAAAATATCTCGACGAGCAACAGGAGTTGGACTGGAACTCCCGAGGAACCCGCGCGGGGATGGGAGTGCTGGTACTCCCACGTGCCCTGTAGGTATCCCCTCGACCAGTCTCAACTGGCTTCTTGGGAGCAGACACTCACCTTCCGCAGGATCTTCCCACAGGGAGGCCAGCCCAGCCCCTGTGCCAGGCCATTGAGGAACCAGAGAGCAGCAAAGACAGGTACCATGGAGCTCCAGGAAAAGACTACGTTGACCAGGCCAACCAGAAGCAGCCCAGAAGAGAAGAGCCAGCGGGCACTCATCTGGTCAGACAGCACCCCGCTCACAAACTTGCTGATGGCGTAGGCTGCTGACTGGCTGCTGGTGATGAGCCCTGCAGGGGAGGGGAGCAGGAAGCAGCACACCTAGGGGGTTAGGGGCCAGGGCAAGGGCACAGGAGGGATGGAGGAAGGCATGGGGTCACGTGTGTAGAGGTGCCTGGCAGGGCGAGATAGGTTCCTTCCAAGGGGACCAGAAGCAGCCTGTGTTGGAATCCCAGCACCCTTTCAGGGGGCGCCGCTACCCCTCTCACCGCCGGCGCTAGCCCCAGGCTGACCCTTGACTTTTCAACCTGAAGAGTTCCAGCTGCAGCTGTCAGGGGGCAAGAAGGGGAGAACAGGGCAGCCCCACCCTGGGATTTACCCATGCCTGATTACATTTCCTCCTCACCCTGGATGCCGACCCAGGGCTTCTAGCAGTTCCATCACCCCCACCGCTGGGCATGGGGCAAAGAGCTTAGAATTGGAATCAAGGACGTTATTCCCCCTGAAATGTAGCGTGCGGGGCCACGTGAAGTTTCTGTGCCAAGTCTCCAGTTCCCATTGCTTACGACGTCAGTGGCCAGCGTGCACCCTGTGGTCTTAGCACGCACCCACGAGGTGTGGAAACCATGCCCAGAAGCCCCCTAAACATACTCGGAATAAGCCAGACCTCTGGGGGCGCGTGTGGGTCACAGGCACACAAACACACATCACATAGGCAGCCCTCCTCAGACGCGTATCGACTACACTCCTGGTGCTTAGCCCACAGCCAGGCGTATGGTTTTCAGAGTCCGGTCGGCGTGTGCCGACTCTCCCTACCCTCCACTGTGCAGACGCTCCACACACGCTACGTGCCTTTATGCACGACACTGCCACCAACACCAACTTGTCCTACGGGTCCTGGGTCCCAGGGCCCACCACCCTGCCCTTCCGTGGCTCACCCAAGTCGTCCTTGTCCAGAGGGATCTCCTCCACCAACGACGGCATGACAAAGGAGAAGGTCTTGCGGTTGAAGTAGTACAGGCTGTAGCCTCCAAACATGGCTGAGAAGATCACAGCGCGGTAATAGCCGTAGCCTTGGGCGGCCATGGTGGAAGGGAGCAGGCCCCAGTGGCCAAGACGCGAAGCCTCCGACCACAGCTCCTGCCTGTGGCTCTCTCAGTGACCAGATCTGCTGAGTTAGGCTTTCTCTGTTCCCTCCTCCACCCAGCCTCCCAGGCTCCCTTTATAGCCACCTTCTGGACAATCATTAAGCCTGGGGCAGCTCGTAGGGAACCCAGTGTCCTGAGGGAGACAAGAAAACAGGAGATTACTGTCGGAGAATCTGTGGGGGCTGGAGGGGGTCCCAGAGGGAGGCACTGCCCATAAGCCAGCACGCTGTGTCCCTAGAATTTCTGCCTTTCTCCGCTCTTCCTTGTCCGCCTGCCTGTGAAACCAGCTGTGATTAAAGGCTCAACCTAATTACTTTTGTCTGCCTGAGCCCAGGGGAGGCAGGGGTGGGATAAAACAGAGCTGCCCTCTCTAGCCCTGCTCCCTCAGCCACCTACCTTCTCATTCATTCAGCCAAGGTTTACTGGTTGCCAGACACTGCACTAGGTGCTCGGTTAGTTTCTACACACACACACAGACACATACCCCCACTTCCAAGCCTTCTTAGGGCTGCTGACTCAAGCCCTGTAACTCCCAATGCCTAGCACACATCGGGATGTAGCTGTTTATGGATAGTTGCAGAATTGTAAGCGAGGGGAACTTCCCAGCGCAAGCCCCTGTTGCACTGAAAGCCCCTGTAAAGCCTGCGGTCATGGTCACTCAGCTGCCTCTGGTCCCTTTACTCTATGACGCCAGTGTGGGGTGCCCTCTGGCTGGCTGGGGGCTGCAGGGCGAGTGACAGCACGACCCGTGAGCGGGAAGGTCCACCCGCGGACTTCAGGCTGCACTGCCGAGCCCGCTAGCGTTCTGGGGCCCCGGCAACACGCCCCCGGGCTTTTCCGCTCGATTAGGAAAGCAATTGGAGCAGAAGGCGTAGGCGAGAGCCGAGAGGGCGACCGCTCATAGTCTCCCGGAGGCTCCTCGCTCCAGGCGCCTAGTGGCTCAGCCCAGCAGGACGGGGCCAGGCGCAGGCTCTCGGCACCTGCCCAGCCCCGTGTCCTCAAGCTACCCAGGACACCTGACTCGGGCTGCGAGGCCACAGACCCGGCAGCCGGAGAGGTACGGAGACACCGGACTGGTGCGACAAAAAGAAGCAGGTGCATGCTGGTCCGGAGCAGCGCCTCAGAGGCCCCCAGACTCAGGAACTGCCCCTCATCCCAGAAGGGGCAGCTGCAGGAACACCTCCGCTTTGGATCGGAAGTTACGGCAACCTTTACTGGGGCTCTAACAAAGGAGCCCCAAGACCCGAGACTCCCCCTCCAGCCCCGCCTTCAGGTGGCACCCCTCCCCAGCATTTGTCCCGCTACCTGCACGCAGGCGGGAGCCGGAATAGGACAGAGCCCGGAGGCGGGACCGCATGCGCATGCGCATGCGCTCGCTAGGGGGCGGGGCCTCCGCCTGCGCCTAGCTGGCTGAGAGCCAAGTCCACCTCCAAGGGTGTAGTCCAAAGCTGCCCGTAGTACTGGTCCTTGGGTGAGAACAGCGCCCCTTAGGGGCTGGACTCGTAGGTCCCTTCTTTAACCCATGGCATTCAACATACCAGTTTTTAGTGAGCGCCTCCCACTACCAATCACTGTTCCGCGTTAACAGTCTGGAAAAGGCCTTGTAGAGAGCACAGTCTTTTCTGTAAGAAATTAAAGCGGTCTTGAATAAATACAGTATGAACAGTTGATTTGTAATCAGACTGCTGGGGACAAAGTTAAGACAAAATACACGGGGTGTTTAAAGTGCCTGGCCAGGGGCGCCTGGGTGGCTCAGTCGGTTGAGCGTCCGACTTCGGCTCAGGTCACGATCTCGCGGTCCGTGAGTTCGAGCCCCGCGTCAGGCTCTGGGCTGATGGCTCAGAGCCTGGAGCCTGCTTCCGATTCTGTGTCTCCCTCTCTCTCTGCCCCTCCCCCGTTCATGCTCTGTCTCTCTCTGTCTCAAAAATAAATAAATGTTAAAAAAAATAAATAAATAAAAAATAAAGTGCCTGGCCAGGAATAAACCTTAAATTCTAATCCTGGACCCATTACATTTTAACAATGTGACCTTGGGTAATAATTTCTACGAACCCCAGTTTCTTACCAACCTCATAGGTTCATGTGAGGACTCACTAGAAGATTTATTATTATTTTTTAAAGATTTTATTTTTCTAAATATTCTCTAAGTGGGGCCCGAACTCACAACTCCAAGATCAAGAGTCACATACTCCACCAGCTGAGCCAGCCAGGAGCCCCTCAACAGAAGATTTAGATAAGAATTTAGAAAATTTAGGTAATCGCTTTCACAGACTACTGGAGAATTGCTGAAAGAATTCTAAGTGTTCCAAAGTTGACAGCAAAGATCTTTTAGATTAGGAAGGTGATCAGGGAAGGGAGGAGAAGCCTGCAATCAGCCACCACCAGTGCCACTCCAGAATGCCTCATGAAAGCTCTTATTTTATTTTTATTGTGTTAACGTGTATTCATTTTTTGAGAGACAGAGAGAGCACAAGTGAGGGAGGGGCAGAGATAGAGGGAGACACAGAATCGGAAGCAGGCTCCAGGCTCTGAGCTGTCAGCACAGAGCCCAACACAGGGCTCAAACTCACAAACTGTGAGATCATGACCTGAGCCAAAGTCAGATGGGCAACCGACTGAGCCGCCCAGGTGCCCTTGATTGGATTTGGATGAGAATCGTGGGTGGGTTCGGTATTTCCCCTCATTTCCCGTCTGGGTACCCAGAACAATGAATGCAGCCAGGGATTCCCATGAGCAGAAAGATGAAGCATTCAGCCTCCCAGATGACAATCTTGGATCTAGCAATTGGGAGGCAGCCGATTTAGGAGAAGATAAAAGTAATGAAGAACTGGGAGTCTTAATATCAGCAAAGTACAGATAATAAACTATCAGAAAGATGTTGAGGACATTGTAGACTTGGCTTCAGTGAGGTAGGAGGATCATGGCACAGAAGGTAATATGGCTGGAGATGATGATGATGATGATGATGATGATGATGATGATAATGATTCACCTGATTCTGAAAGTCCAAATGACTCTGAAAGTGGTTCACGGAGAAAGAAGAATCTGCTGAAGAACTCCAAGCTAACTGAGCACCCGGATGAAGTGAAGGATCCCCAACAAAACTAAAAGATAACCTACTCAATGGGAGAAGATATTTGCAAATGACATATCCAATAAAGTGTTAGTATCCAAAATATATAAAGATACTTTATACAAACTCAACACCACAAAGCAAATAATCCAATTAAAAATGGGTGGAAGAGGGATGCCTGGCTGGCTCAGTCAGTAGAGCATGCAACTCTTGATCTCAAGGTTGTGAGTTCAAGCCCCACATTGGGTACAGAGATTACTCAAAAATAATTAATTTTTAAAATAGGCAGAAGACATGAATAGACATTTCTCCAAAGACATACAGATGGCCCACAGACACATGAAAAGATGCTCAACATCGCTCATTATCAGGGAAATGCAAATCAAAACCACAATGAGATGGGCTGCCTGGGTGGCTCAGTCAGTTAAGCATCTGACTCTTGGTCTTGGCTCAGGTCATGACCTCACAGTTCATGAGTTCCAGCCCCGTGTCGGGCTCTGCTCTGACAGTGTAGAGATTGTCCCTTCTTGGGATTCTCTCTCTCTCACTCTGCCCCTCCCCCACATGCACTCTCTCTCTCTCTCTAAATAAACTTTAAAAAAATGAGATTTCACATCACACCTGCAGAATGACTAAAATCAAAAGGACAAGAAACAAGTGTTGGAGAGGATGTGGAGAAAAAGAAACACTTATGCACTGTTGGTGGGAGTGCAAACTGGTACAGCCACTGTGGAAAACAGTATGGAGGTTCTTCAAAAAATTAAAAATGGAATTACCATATGATCTACACTACTGGATATTTACCCAAAGAACATGAAAACATTCAAAAAGATATATGTACCTCTATATTTACTGCAGCATTATTTACAACAGTCAAATCATGGAAATAGCCCTATTGTCCATCAATACGTGAATGGATAAAGAAGATGTGATAGAGTCACCTGGGTGGCTCAGTTGGTTGAGCGTCTGGCTCTTGATCTCTGTTCAGGTCACGGTCTCATGGTCATGGGATCAAGCCCTGTGTCGGGCTCCACGCTGATGGCTGGAGCTGCTTGGGATTCTCTTTCTCTCTGTCTCTCTCAAAATAAATAATAAACATTAAAAAAAAGAGAGAGAGATGTGGTGTGTGTGTGTGTGTGTGTGTGTGTGTGTGTGTGTGTGTAACTCAGCCATAAAAAAGAGTAAAGTCTTGCCATTTGCAACACCATGGATCGATCTAGAGAGTATAATGCTACGTGATATAAATCAGAGAAAGACACATACCACATGATTTCATTCATATGTGGAATTTAAGAAACAAAACAAAGGAACAAAGAAAAAGGAGACAAACCCCAAAACAGGCTGTTAACCATAGAGAACAAATTGGCAGCTGCCAGAGGGGAGGTGGGTGAAGGCTGAGTAAAATAAATGAAAGGGATTAAGAAGGTTCTTATGATGGGGTGCCTGGGTGGCTCAGTGGGTTAAGTGTCCAGCTCTTAATTTCGGCTCAGGTCATGATCTCATGGTTCGAGGGATCAAGCCCTGTGTTGGGCTCTGTGCTGGCAGGGAAGAGCCTGCTTGGGATTCTCTCTCTCTCTCGCTCTCTCTCTCTCTGCCCCTCCCCCGTGCATGTGCGCTCTCTCGCTCTCTCTCTCTCTCAAATAAACTTACAAAAAAAAGTATACCTATCGTGATGAGCACTGAATAATGTATAGATATAGAACGGTTGAATCACTCTATTGTACACCTGAAACTAATATAACGCTGTATGTTAACTATACTGGAATCAAAATGAATATAAATAAAAGCCTTATTATAATGGACAGTGGGGGACTATACAGCACAGACTTTTACATTATAATTATTTAAAAGAGTGCCTGCAGATACTATGGGTTACACTTGTATGGGTATGACTATAACCATTTTGACAAAGAGTAAGGGTTGTCGAAGATAATAAATAAATACAGTACTCAATTTTCTTTCTTATTGGCACCATCAAACTTCTTTGTTATTAAAAAATGTCTAAGTTTATTTATTTTGAGAGAGACAGAGACAGCATGAGTTGGTGGGGAGGGAGGGGGAGCAGAGAGAATCCCAAGCTGGCTCCGGACTATCAGTGCAGAGCCTGATGTGGGGCTCGAACCCACGAAACCGTGAGGTCATGACCTGAGATGAGACCAAGAGCCTGCTGCTTAACCCACTGAGCCACCCAGGTACCCCAGCACCGTCAAATTTCCAATCCCATCCTTTTACAACCTTTCAATTACAGTTACAGGGAGGACTTTTTTTTTTTAATTTTTTTTTCAACATTTATTCATTTTTGGGACAGAGAGAGACAGAGCATGAACGGGGGAGGGGCAGAGAGAGAGGGAGACACAGAATCGGAAACAGGCTCCAGGCTCCGAGCCATCAGCCCAGAGCCTGACGCGGGGCTCGAACTCCCGGACCGCGAGACCGTGACCTGGCTGAAGTCGGACGCTCAACCGACTGCGCCACCCAGGCGCCCCAGGGAGGACATTTTATAGTTCGTGGTAACTGTTTCACCTTTTTTGTTCCTGTATATTTTTCTCTCATAAAATCTTATCTGATACTGTGATATGTTCATGAAAAATATTCTTGTATTATTCTTTGTAATAGTAGTACTATTCATCATGGATATTTCTACTGCCGATAGCAATCTAAATTATTGTTGGCATAAGATTAGGTACTGGCCTTTGAACCAAAGCAACACGAAAGGAAATACTTTCACATCTGTTAGGATGGGATGGTAACTGTCATACATTTGGAATGTTACGATCCCAAGCAATCTTTACATAATATGAATTACATAGTGTATTATATTTTTGATGAAACTTGGCCCGATTTGACATAAAAAAAAATTACTTCTCTGATCAATTGGTCTTCTATATGTAAAACTGGATTTTTTTAAAAAGGGAATATGTGACCAAAGTTAATTTTCTTCCTAAGGCCTAGATAAAGAGAAAGCAGTTTCCCATTTTTAAAAAAGAAGAGAAAAAAAATCTTTCATGGCTAATATTTTTCAGGAGTCTAGGTCAATTGTTTTACAGAATGTCCCTCGATATTTGTCCAACTATTTTTGCGATGATTATATTAATTTTGGAAGAAGTACTGTATAGATGATGATGTGTGTACCACATCGGGAGGCTTGGGATATATTTGATCATTTAGTTAAAATGGTGTCCGCCTGATTTCTTTATTGTCAAGTGTATCTCTTTGTAATTAGTAATCTGTGGGTCCATACTTTGGTACTGCCTCATCAACCTTCATCTGTGGGCCTACCTGACCTCTCTCCAGGCTTCAATTTCTTCCAACATCTGATCAACGTCC